TATAGCGCTCATTACTGTTCTAACGTAAGCATTCAATGGCGAATTACAAAAATTATTATAATTAGGAATAATCATTTGTATATAACTATAATAGTGATTTTATTTATCTAATGTAATGTAAATTTTTTCTATTTAAAATTTGATATGCTTTTTGGCATGAAAATATTGTTTAACAATGTTGTGCAATTTGCATCTATCTAAATTGTTATCAATTCGATTTTGATATTATTCGATGTATTAATGGATCTTTGAAAGAATATAAATGAAACGACAGTTCAATCAGTTTCTGAGCATACTTGGTTCTCGTTCTGTTGTCAGTTGTTGGATTTCGAATTTATATTTGGACTGTAGTAGAACCCTAGGTGATTAGTCTAGCTCAGGTTTTGTCTCTTGTCGGATTTTTTCGTTTGCTTACGATTTCGGATTGATGCTTTATATAGTTTAAAATATCGAATTTCTTCCTTCTGGAGATATATAAAGAAACTGGTTTATAGGAATTGTAGAAAGGTTTTCTAGCATCGATTTGTACCATTTCAATTTTCAGTCATTCAGACGTCTGTAATTCCAATAATACGTTTTATGAGCTCACTATCGCCATTGCTGTTTATGGTATCTAAGGATCTTTGCGTCATGAAAAGCTAGGCTTAGTGGTAGTGGAATTGCAAGAACCACAGATGTCTGAGTGAAATTTTGAATGGTGCAAATCGATGCTATTCTTTTTACGGATAGACATAAACAGATCTTTTTAAAAATTGAGGTTGGCATGCCATAGTTCCAGAGACTAAGATATTGTGAACTATGTGACGGTTGCAATTCAGAAAGGGGTTCAATATTGGTATTCTTACTGCTATGGCTTTAAATTGTAGTTGTGGTAGGCATGATAGTGTCAGTTCTTGTGGTTAGACTAAACTAAACTTATTAGTTGGCTGCAAATTAATGGGTTCTTTAATATGAATTATGCCCCTTGAACCGTTTTCTGATAGTTTTGGCTGCTCCGCCTTAAAACAAAACGACTTCTGAATATGAGCTCCCAGCCACAGGCACCAGATTCTGGTAAAAAAAAATATCATGACTCTTATGCTATATGATTTATTTTTTTTACCAGAATCTGGTGCCTGTGGTCCAGTCGTAGATCCCACTTACACCCGAATTGTGCTCGTGATTAGAGACGAAGGGGTCAAATGAATTGAATCAAAATAAGATTGTTATTTTATCTCCATTGCAATCTAACAAGTTTTCTACCACAGTCCCGTTCTGATGATGTTATGTTTAGCAAATCGAAGCGTGTCATGTAGAACCTGTTTCTCTGGGATTTGGGTCAGCAGATCAACTTTTCAATGAAGATGAACAGAATCTGTGATCCCACTCTAATTTCACCGACTGCGGGCAACTGGGGCCAGCTGGGATAATCTGATCAATGGCATACGATCAACTAAATATAGCTTTTTCAAAAAGCTTTCATGAACTTAATTTATCTTTCAGACTAAGGTATCATCTGTGACGTAATGAAGCTGGTATCGTGTCTAGTAATTTCTTGGTTGCTGGTTGTGACGTCATCCAGGTATTTAGATGAAAGAAGCCGACACACAAAACGAGAAAATGACGCCATTTTGAAGGAAATCGAGGGACTTTTGGTGGAAATACTAAAAGAAGGTATAGATTACAAATTCATTTTTGTCTTTATAATGAGGTTGAATCCTTAGTTCAGGTCAAAAGGTTAATTTGACGAACTTTCAAGAGAGTTGTCGTTAAATCTTAACTGAAGTGGCTATATTAAAGATGAAACCTAATAAAAAAACGAAATGAAAGATTGGTCCAATTTGAATTAGACTGAAGGAGTAGTTGTATTGATCTGTTGTGTTAACTTTCTAATTGTTTCATTTCAGAACTTGGTAATGTGGAAGCAGTGACGTCATGGGTAGAAACAGCAAATAAATTAACTCTGGACCTGGAGAGTAAACTGGCCGTCTCGGAGTGGAATCTAGCTACTAATATCACCACAGAAAACGAGGAGAAGGTACGTTCTGTTTTATTCTCAAACGACCTTTACTTGAGATTATGCTTGTTATATTTTTCATCTGCAAAGCAACTGGCACCAGCATTTTCTTGGTAATAAGCAAATGAAAAACTCTTTTTGTAGTACTATGGTCAGCTCTGAAACACCAAACATACTCAGTAGTACTGTGTTGTCAGTGTTATCTGAACCGGAAGTATGATCCAATAGTTCATAAATCAGGTTTTCACATCTGAACCTAAAGTTTGACACAAAAGATTAGCTTTTGATGTAGTGGCGGTGCCAATGGGGTCACAAGGAGAGGGGGGGGGGGGTGCATCTGTCCGACATTGTCCCTCCATTATTCAGTCTACTCCATATTTGTAACCCCAGTTCAAGTAGGCTGTCACAGCTACTGTATTATATAAACTTTCATTTCTTAATCGGAATTTTTAAAGATTGTTCCCAGTACAACCAGATTGCCCACGAGGCATTGTGATTATTTAATTAATAATACAATTAGAGTTTTAATTAAATCTGAAATCGGTTTATCCATCGTGTTTTTCTTCCTAATTCTTTAAAATTCATCAAATTTAATCAAGCCTACATATTTATGTTCCAACGGTTTTAATAATAATTATCTCTGGATTTAGATTTCTTGATTCAAAATCCGATTTTTAACTTCAAATTTGATTAATCCCGATTTTCTACAAAGCTTTTTTGATAATTATTAATTATCTATTGAATTTTAAGATTTATGGATTTTGTTTCTCAAAAGTTGTTGAACTACGAGACGTTAGAAAATTTCAGTCAGATTCGGTCATTAGTCCCCTGATGTCGGAAGGTCATATTGTTAAGACAACCTTAAAGATATCTACACCATTCTATGAATCAGAAGGTAGAGGGGCCGAGGAGTTGCAACACTATGTCAGAATGGAAGGGGATTGGGGGCACCCGCATTTAAGACGTCAATGACAACACATTTGGAATATGGGGGTGGGGGTGGGGGGAGTATACAAGGACTGGCCGCCTCATTTTTTTGGGAGCGTGGCATGGTCTCTGCTGACCCCCCATAGAAACAGATCAAAACAAAAACATTCTCTGGCAATTCTTTTAAAATGATCTGAATTTACTCAAAATTTTATATGAGTTTTCTTGCAACAAACATTTTTGCATCCGCTCATCAAGCTCCCCTGGGAATCGAAGCATCACTCAAAGGTCATCTATTTAAACTTATCCTGTAATTCGACCTTGCTATATAATTTCAAGTTTAGGGATTATTTCGTTATATATTTGACCGGTCTAGTAGGATTAGGGCATTTGTAGTAAAACTACTAACGTCATAACATGGTTTTAGTATTTTATTTTAATTTAGATTACTATATATGGTTTTAATTCTCTTTTAAATGGCATTTTAAATCATGAATCGAAAAAACACCAATAAAAGAGAATAACTGATAAGCGGATTTAAAGATATTGTAATAGTATAAGGGGATTTGAATATAGGAGATGGACAATACCGTTTATACTTTGTTTAAATGTCAAGGAAAGTCTTTTAAGAAGTTAAAGAATGCTTATATTTTATATCGCCTACATCGCCTATAAAAAGACTGTTTATTTATTATTCGGTGTTTTTATTCAAAAGTATATTAATCTTGCGGTTTGTCAACATATTATTGTGAACATAGAATTCAAAATTAGTTTGTTTGTAAATACTCTGAAAGCTGCGTGGAAATTCTGAAAATGATGTTGAGTTGACAAACACAAATAAAAATATATTTTTATCTTATATAAAGCTCCGTTAATGATGTCGAGTTGAAATTGCAAAGGCCTTATTAACATTATTAACTATTTGAGTTCTCTAAGAGGGATGATAAACCCAAAATCCGAACATATTCTACCTCATTGGGTGATTGTAGTCGAAAGCAGATTAAAGTTTGGGTTGTTCAAAGCTATTCTTGAACCAGCCTATAACAAAATAACATCAATATCTATGTCCACGGCTTCCGACTTTCAAACACTCTGTATTTCTCTTGTGATTTGACTTTGATGGTATTCCCTCAGCCCTCGCCTACAAAACCATGATGAAAGTTATTAATATTCCAAACTTAATTAATGAATTGTTTTCTGGACCATACAAAAGGAATTCTATGACGTCATAGGTGCTCCAAGGTACCACCAGGGGAATACTCTCACTCCAGGCTTGGAAACAAGGACAATGTAGGAGACAAGATGAAAGACCCAATAAAAAAGTGATATCCGAACTATTGTACTTGATCCTTTTTTATCTTGCAGATGTAGTCGATGCAGCACTCAATCTAATTAAAATTTGATTACAATTTCGTATTTTAATATATTTTCAGATACACACTTGTCATCTAATTTTACTTAGATCATGAGGTGATAAACCCAATCGCAAAGTGCTATCCGATCTATTGTACATATGATACAATCTTATCTTACAGGAAACAGAGGCATCGGTAGAGTCGTCGAAGCTGGGAAGAAGATTGAAAACTGAAGCGGATAATTTAAACCTGAAACATGTCAATGAAGATGTCAGACGACAAGTTGGTGTATTCCGGAAGTCGTCTGTTTCAAAAAGACCAGATATAGCCAGGTTAGCATATATTTTGCAACTTTCGGCAGTTTTGCATGTCGGACTTTCACAGTAGATCCTTCACGTCCTTAAGTCACGGATAAATTTACAGAGTCACTGTCACAGAGTAATTCTTTTCTGTTTTTTCCCCGAAATAAACGGCCTCTGTGAAAATTACTCTAGCGCCCTGCAACATATTCAGCTTAATGGAAACTGTCGAAGATTGTCGAATGCCCCCGAATTTGAATTTCTAAAGGGAAGTAACTCAATCACTAATCTAATTGGCTCTCTTACTGACGTCTCGTTTCTCCCCCAAATTTTTAAATGGAATAACTCAATCGCTCAATTTGATTGGCCCTTAATTTGACCTTTTTGTTTTATTTTAGGAACCTTGCACATACAACCAATAAAATGACGTCAATTTACAATAAAGGAAGAGTGTGCACTGTCTCTGGACGACCTTGTCTACCTCTCGAACCGGATCTGACGGATCTGATGAGCAACAGTCGTGATCCAAAACAGTTGTTAGAGGCGTGGGTAGGATGGCGTGACGTCACTAGACCAATCAAGCCGTTATATACTAATTTTGTTAATTTGAAGAATATAGGTGCTGTTGAAAATGGTAAGTCTATCACGAGAGAATGTCGTTAATAATATGTTAACGTTATCGTTATTTCAGCTGTCCACGACATTTCAGAATTTAAATTATACCCACAGTTGTAATTTAACAATGACGTCTATTATCGCTTCCATAATGAACATTTGCTGTTTCTTAACGTTTTTTATCGAAAATTAAAACAGTTAGAACTGCAGAACATATTACAATGCAATTCACTACCAACACCAGAGTCCAGTTAAACAAACAATTTGTCGATCAATTTGTGTAATAGGCATGGTATTTCTCAATGTAGAATTCCACATTTACCATAAATTCGTATAGTCAGAGTTTTTGAGGTACTGGTCTAGGAATATAATATACGACCCATTCGGCAAAATTCGGCAGTTTCCGTAAAGATGAACTGGCATAACTTTCATTGTATTCCGTTTGCATACGAACATTCAATGCACTAACGAAACTGGTACGCTTTTGCACAGTATTTTTATATCCATTTATCAATTTTAGGTTATTCGGACTACGGAGCGTATTGGAGGGATGAGTTGTTCGGGGATACTCCAGATCTGGAAGAAATGGCGGCTAAATTGTGGGTAGAAGTAGAGCCTCTTTATACACATCTCCATGCCTACGTCAGATCGAAACTACGAGATTTCTATGGCGACAATGTTGATATTGAAGAGGATGGTGGGATACCAGCTCATATACTTGGTAAGTCTTTATTCGGAGCATCTTCAGGGAATTTGAGGAAGGGCAAGGAACAAAGAACAGCACGTTTGACTATGCGTTTTCAATATTTCACTCTTGGCTTAGCTTGCTGATATCACTCGTGTTGTATTTTGTGCAATATTGAAAACCATAGATACATGAGTGAGATTCGACCATTACATACGGACGCATAGCCCCATTTTGGTTAGCCGAGGACGTCTTTGTAAAATTATTGCCCAAAGATTGAAATAGAACGAACTGATAAAGCAAAAGCCATTGGTAGCCTAAATGATTTTTCTGAAAACCTTGATTTTTTAATTGTAGGAAATATGTGGGGCCAGAACTGGGCCGGTATTTATGAAATAGTTAAACCTTATAATACCGTAGACACCAACAGGCAGGTGGAGGACAGACTGAAAGAGGAATACGATGTAAATGGCATGTTCCGTCTTGCAGAAGAATTCTACAGTTCCATTGGTCTATATAATATGACTGACAAGTTCTGGAATAATTCCATGCTCTCTAAGCCTGCAGATAGAGAAGTCCAGTGCCATGCTTCAGCCTTTGATCTTTACCAACCAGGTGACTTTAGGTAAGAACTTTCACTGTCTGTGAAATCATAACTAAATCAGTTTGGAAGCGCTCTATCTTATTTAGCATTTGAAAATTCACCATTTCACTATCTTCCAGGATGTTGAGGTGTCTTGTTTAAAAACTGTGGTATGTGCCTTTGGTAAGGCAAACCATGGCCCTTTAGCGACTACGTTTATCAATTCTTTCTCCTTTTTTGGCAAGTTTCAAAGACCAAAAAAAAAAAAATTGGCGTCGTTAGACTTTGAAACAAACGTTTATAACATGTCTGTTCTTCTCTTTGCAGAATTAAAATGTGTTCAGAAGTAAACTTGGACTACTTTCAAACAATTCATCATGAAATGGGTCACGTGGAGTACTACATGGCGTATGAATCTCAACCATTAGTGTACAGAAACGGAGCAAATAGTGCGTTTCATGAGGCGGTAGGAGACACTATAGCGTTGTCAGTACGTAGCCGGAAACATTTAGAGACCATTGGATTGTTGGATGAAGACACCCTTGATGACGATGGTAAATATACTTTACAGTTTGCACTATCTATGGCTTTCGTTGGAACTCGTCTCAGTACGAGTTACACAGTGACCAGTGATAGAAAGCTCAATTATGAATTAAAGAATTTAGTCATAGAAAATTGTTATTTTGATAGTGTTCGGGTTCCTCTGCTTTGTTAAGCAGTACCAGTCCTGGAGAAGGACCAAAGGATGTGAAATAAGGTAGAGAAAATACACGACACACTCGATACTTATTAACCATGCTTCGTCCACGGGATGTACCAATCGTACCTACCACGGCCATTCTCACAACGCCTGACAATAACCTCATATGCAGATGGAAGAAAATCTTCTTTAATTGTTAGGCGGAAGTTACATCCGCGTTACAAAGTGTAGTTCTTCAGAGTTAAATAAATAAAATAAATTTATTGTCACATGACCTAAATTTTGAAAGTAGTGATTTATCCTCCAGTTGCATATGAAGTTATTGTCAGGCGTAGATAGAATATCCACCGTAGATACGATTGGGGATGTAACTCCCAAAGATACGAAACGTCTAAGCATTAAGATAATTCACTCTAAAGTATTTGTTATTTTGTGTGTTTCAGAAAGCGATATCAACACTCTATTGCTCCATGCCTTAAATAAAATCTCCTTTCTACCGTTTGGTTATTTAGTGGACAAATGGCGCTATGATGTGTTTAGAGGGGAGATAACTCACCACGATTACAATGAAAAATGGTGGGATTTAAGGTAAGACTTGTATTCTTCATAAAACAAGAACTATTAAACTGAATTTACGTCTACAAGAGAGTTTTGTTTCGAGGTTGCCGTAGGTCATTGTATCATGTTACTGTGCAGAATCCTACTCCTCTTTAGCGTGGGCTGATATTTTGTCCAATGGATCATTTTCTTCTTTCAGGCTTCGTCTGTTTATCCATAAATGGATATTCCTTGTTTCTATTTATAGATATGATTATATTTACTAATCTCCCTTGTTTCTATTTATAGATATGAATACCAAGGTATAAGTCCACCAGTTGAAAGAAAGGCGTATGGATTTGATCCTGGAGCAAAGTTCCATATTCCTTCCAATTCACCATATATCAGGTTAGGACCAATTTTCAAATCTTGGGATAGTGATAAATCCTAAGTTTTAGTCGGATTGCAAGAATTTTGTATTTCATAAACAATATATGCTACCGGTGCTTAAGGTGTATGAAGAACCACAGACGTTGGACTGAAAATTGGAATGGTACAAATCCATGCTATCAGTACACTTGAAACCTATAGAACACATCTTCACAATCCCTTTAAGGTGATATCATCCGTCATGTCTGGAGGGGGTAGAAGAAGGTAAATCTCTATTTCCACAAAATAGCCCAGAACCATGCCTCATTGCTAATATCTCATGTTTTTTTTCTCTTATTTCAGTTATTTCTTCAGTTTTATTCTTCAATTCCAATTTTACCAGAGAATGTGTGAATTATCTGGTCACCAGGGGGCGCTTCATACCTGTGATTTTTATGGGTCAGAAGAGGCCGGTTCAAAATTTAGGTAAGTTGTTTGTCTTTACTCAAATCCGTTAAACTATGAGAAAATTTTCCGTGTTTCCAAGGCAGTGTACTAAACCTATCATCTGGGATTCTTCTAGTATATGATGACGACCAGTTTTAATCAGATACCTTGGACCATCGCTGTCTAGTATTAATGCCCTTTCACTTGGAAATGATATCACAACCGTCTCGATAGATAAAAGTACTAATGTTGAAATGGACGAGGTATGGTGTAGGATGTGCGATTGTCGATACAGTACAAAATAGTAGAATTGATACTTCTGCCTCTTAATCCCGTCCAGCAGTGAACGATATAATATGGAAATTCCTTTTTTTTTTCAGAGAGATGTTGGCATTAGGCTCTAGTATACCATGGCCGGAAGCTTTAGAAAGATTTACAGGCAGTAGAGAAGTGTCCGCTAAACCCTTACTGGAATATTTTCAACCTTTGATGAACTGGTTAGAGGAAGTTAACGAGGAAAATGAGTCGATTGTTGGTTGGAAATAATCAACATCCCGAAATGTTACTATGCGATCTCGATATGTACCTTGTCCTATGAACTATTAACTGGGATAATGAGCTTTTACATGACAATATGACTATATGACCTCCATATTAAGCTGATACTACTGACTAGAAGATATCAACGAAGGAAAAGGGTCGATCGTTGGTTGGAAATAATCCCCATCCCGATATAATATTATGCGATTGCGATCTCGATAATTTATGCTGCTGAATTCTTGTATGTATAATAATTTTTTGCAGGTATGATCTTCGTTGTTTAATAGGCGATACAATTCCACACTGATAAATATTTAACTGAAACGATACTCAATATTTACAGTGCGATTCAATTTGATTCAATCTCTATACACAACTTTGTTGTTTTGTGATGAAAAGTTGTGAAGTTGAAGCGATTCTCGATGTGTATACTATATGGCGATAGCATACGATCTTCTTATATAGTTGCAATAACGACGTATCATTGGTACGATAACGATGTATCGCTGGTACGATAACGACGTATAGCTGGTACGATAACGACGTATAGCTGGTACAATAACAACGTATCGCTGATACTTGAAAATTACGTGACGATGTAATTATACTTAATATTGATATTACGATATGCTGCGATAGACAGCTTGTACGATTTACGATTTGTATATATGGCTCTATCCCTATTTTCAACTATCGTTACGTCAACTTGAAACAACACGAATTAAATGTTAAATAACTTTTGCACACAGATTTATTTATTTCTCTTTTTTATGTAACAAAACTAGGCATTGTTTTATGTAGAAGGTTCTGTATTTAGAATTTCATTGAAATATTGTTTTGTTAATTTTTAATCAATTTTAAGAATATTGTATATAAACTTCACTTGTTAAATCTCCACTGTTTCTATTATTATTTATTATTTATAGAACTATTATACAATAAATTATTATTAAATATTAAGTTCATATCTTTCTTTATATTGGTTTAGAGTGTACATCGCTTCCCTTTTGAGAACATCGTTCACCACACAATTATGCAAATCCAATATCAGTCCTAGAAACAGTCGGACGCCACTGACAAAAACCGGAATATATAACAGCAGTAAACGATATCTGTGTCTTCAATCTTCAACACTTGCAATACACATCATGTGTTCACACCTTGAAAGAAGTAGCACTATTATCATAGAGAATATTGACTGTTAGCTGAATAATTTAGGTAATTGCCATTGGAATCAAAATATTCTAGATCCTGACACATGTTCCGGTAACGTAGTTCTTCCACCAATATGACAGCTATGTCACGAAAGTCGAGATGACAAATTAGTGTCCCAATCAAAACATGTTAAGCCTAGTTATAGTCATGTTATTGTCTCCCAAAACAAAAACCAATTTACCACATTCCGATAATAAGCCAACATGACAAACCAACGTCACAACTTCAGGGTTCAGGTAGGATGCGTGACACTTGATGGATGGAACACAGTCGAGATCGATTGAAAAAGTTTCCGTCTTCACACGGAACAGTTATTTAAATGCGTTAAAATAAGCCCTGTCAAGGCTGAGAGGATGGGAAAAGTTTGTGGGGTAGGGGTTAAAATTGTAAGATATTGGGGATGCACCCCACATCGCCCCTGGGAACAGCCCCTCTCTTTTTAATTTGAAAGACATCTGCTTCTTCCACTTAGTTCTGAAAAGGAAATTTGAAGGAATTAAACTAGATCAGTACTGCTCAAAAATGTTTTGCACCGAATTGAATGGACGGTTATTGTCATGCAAGGTACTGAAATCACATGCGCTCATCAGCGTTTAATTTTGGCTGATGGTACTGTCATTTTACGGACACGATTGCAAATGTACATTGGACGCAATGGGAGGTATGTTATTGCGCTAATCAGCGTTTCATTTGCGCCATCGTTTTTAATACTATAACTATACACAGGCCTATATCCAGACTTGATTGTTAGGAGGGACAAGAAGTATATCCGGTGTATGCTGTTTAGTTGCAGTAATGGAATTGGTAGGTTATCAGAATTGTTTCTGGTGGATATTCCACCCCTCCCTTGACCACCTGTTTCTATGGGACTGGCTTACAAACGAATACGAAAAAGTATAAATTCCTACCTTCTGTTTTGAAACCAAGTTTTAATCTGTGTTTCTGATAATTCTAAACTTTTTGACAATTCAATTCTTTTACTCACGCTCAGATACCGATCAGCCTACAAGAAGTTATTTTATGTGGTTTCATTATGAACAAATACAACACTCGTCAACACGTTGCTCAGAAGGCGGAGTGCTGATGTTCTAGCACCCCGCACAACGTTTCTTTTTTCCGGCAAATATATATAGAGCATCTGAAATAAAACTGGGCTTACAGCTACATACAATGGGTTACGCGTTAACTCAGTGGGACGGCGCTTGCTTGCTAACCCTAATGCTTCGATCCCAGAGATGACAGAGATTGGGTATATGGTGTTTTCAGAATACAGAACAACTCTGAATGATTTGAAAGACGTAAGGATGAGATAGGGTATAATAACTGTACTGAAACAAAATGAATGGCGGTTGTGAGAGACAATCAGTGGTATCAACTCAAATGATAACTTTCCATCTTACCTTGAATTCTGCCTCGAGATTTTCTAACTGTTTACTGGAATAGGCTTGACGTGGTTTCCGATCTATATTTACTCGTCGCTGACGGCGGCTAGTTGTATTTCTCTGTGCTGAAAGGATTGTTTGATACAAATTTCAAAAGAATATGATAAGATATGAGACTCTCGGGTAACATCTGATGTTCCGGAGAGCCTCGATGGCAACATCCATCACAGTTATTATCATAGCACACACTTATCATGTATTTTGAATAAAATCATTCTCTACAAATACAAATTTAACTGAACAAAGTCGGAAGTGGTGAGTTTCAATTAAAAAAGAACTGACCACTTCGCCTGTGACACACAAACACATTGAAAACAGACTATAAAAGGCCCATTGCATAATAGATGTGGTTTTTTTTTAGGCAGTTATTTCTCAGAACACCCCCTAATTCTTTTGGACTGTCGTCTCTTGTATTGAAATTAGAAATGGTACAACAATTACCTTCTAGCACTAACTGTCTGTGATACATGGACTGGTAAATCCAGCCTGGACTCTCTGATGTCCAGTGTGGTAGTGTGTAGCACAATCTAGGTACAGGACGGATGACCATTGGAGATCTGATAACATCACAGATAGGTTGAGGCGAGCTGATTTTCTCAACCTATAAGCAAAAGCATATAAATGCAATAAACACTCAGGACTGACTTGGATTATTTTTTTCGTTGCGATTCGTTTTTTTTATTCAATTGTTTCAACTGTTAACGATTAAAATTGTAGAATATTTAAGAACACGAAACAAAACTAAAAAGTAATGAGAGAGAACCAGCGCCGCAGATGTCTCTTCCAAGACAAGATTTGTCAACATTACGGACTTGCACGATGTATTTCTCAGCATCAGAAGATTTTGGCAGCCCCAAGACACCTGCATTACTTCCTCTTTAATAATTAAAACCTATTTTCAGCCATGACAACTTGAGAGCCTCGCAGAATTTCAAGAAAATGATCTTTCACTGGTACGAAATGACTGACTCATTTCCTCACCCCTAACACATAATTTATTTGTTGTGAATGCCATATTCTGCGCAATTGTTCCCTATGTATCGAGGATTTTCTTGATTTTTCAGTTAGTTGGTTCAAAAATTTGTCCTTCAGGTTAAAAGAGAATAAAATTTCACACATTTTAATCTCTTTCTTGATTATTGGAATACAATCGCTTTCCATGCCTTGAGCAAGAAATTAAAATAATGCGTCCGTGAATTCATTTACTTAAACACCTACCTGTGTAGTTGGTACTTCAGCACTTGTTGAAGATGATCCTTGCACGTGATCAGATTCATCACGTTTTAAAATATCCTCAATTGATAGAAAATTTGTTTTAGAATTTCCCGAATGTTCCTGCGATTCTGCAGACTCCGCAGACGAAGCAATTTGCGCTAAACTGGACGACATTGTCACGTTGTTCCAAAAATGGCCTTCAGCGCACCTGCAAATTCTTTACGGTTTTGAGATAAAAAATCAAAAACGTTCATATTTATACTGTGATTATGTTTTTATTCAATTAAAGTAAATCGTTTAAGAGCCATTTTTACAAAATGGCCACATTAAACATCTTTTTCTATTATTTTAATCAATTTATGTCGCTTTTAAGTGATTTGAAGAGTTGTTATGGCTTTGAGAGTAATTTGAAGGGTTGGAGAGTATAGACACCAGACGACGTGATTCCCAGTATTTCCCGCCAGTAGAAAAGCGCGGGAATCGATGCGCTAAAAGGTATAGTTTGATAGTAACGTTAGATCTCGGCTACTTAGGGGCCCGTAGCCAAACTTGATTGGGGCAAGTTATCCTATCTATACCATGTGAACACTCTGAATATAATATAAGTGATTTAAATAATATTAAAAACTCAAACCACAGGATAATGCAAGTATGTAATCTAGAGATTTCTCAATAAGGAGCAGAGAACTAGGCCTAAAACTCCTTCCAACCTATTTCAGTTCAAATAACAAAATAATGTAATGTTTGTGATCTTGTAGTAGTCTTCCTCCGAAAAGTATGATTCCATTTCTCCATTTCTTAATACGGATCCGAGAAGTGGGAAGTAAAACGCCTTTCATATTTTTCATTTCAAACAACCCGATAATGTGAAGTCTATGATCCAAGAGTAATCGATATCGGTAAATAAATCTAATTAAAATATACCTGATTTTAACAACAATAAACCACCCTAAATACTGTTATTTCATTGGTTTATTAATGGGAAATATAGCTACTTATTGACCAATCAAAACGTATCGTCCATTATCGTCTGCCCTTGCATCTGTCTCGTTCTCAAACTTTGATTGAATTCAAGTTGTTTTAATCGTCTGCTTTCTACATGAAACAAAATGGCTGCCAAATAATATTAATTGTTTAAAAACATTCAGTCTATTATTGTAAGTGTTGTAATAATTTTCGATATGGATTTTTTCTCTTTTTAAGTGTCATTATTATCAATTAGAGTCCCTATAACAAAACACACCAGGCATTACTGTATTATGTTATATGCTTAGCTTAGTTATTGAAGGGACATAGTCGTCTAAAAATAAAGTTCTCACAGGAAGTGCTTCAATTGACACAATTCCGATTTCTAATCCCCGATATCAGTGATACAACTACCATAGGGACTGGTTGAACCACGTCCAAGGGCCGCCACCCCTAAGGGGTAAATGGTTAAAATGGCTACGAAATATTTTGATGAATAATTTCACAAATCATTCAAAATAAACAAGAATTGTTTGAAGTTATCGGATCGTGCTTTTGCAGTTTTTACCAAATTAGGAATGTCGTGCTTTCTTGAAAATATGTAATGATTGCTTAAGGCTATTCAACCTGTGGTCTGTTAAGAATGCAGCTCTAATTAGTTGAAGTTCTATTTGATATTTAAGTTTATTTCAATATGGTATTTTCTCCTTAGACTGGTCACTGGTTAAAGAACAAATACAAGCCGAGAGAATGTTGTTGACAGGGCCAATATTAGAGATAAATATTGAATATAAACTGGTCTTGTGTAACGATAGGTGTTAAACAAAATAGTCAACAACATTACATTGATATTTCAACATTCGGATTGTAGAGTCATAAATAGTTGCTGAAATAGGTTTCGAATAATTTAGACTTTTGAATATTTCTGCGACTGGGTTTGACACCTCTCATACTCTCCCTTTTGAGAGTTCACAGAGCTATTTATGTTTAGTTAGTGGTAGTAATTCATAACCTAGACATCACTTGTGAGAGTCCACATAGATTATATAGTCAGTAAGTGGTTGGAATTCATAATCTCGGCAGTAGATCAATAACACAGTGATTTGAAGAACCAAATAACTCTTTCGGAGAGTTCACAGAGTTAATAAAGACACTCGCATGAATAAGCAATTTTTACATGTAAGATTTACACCATTCCATTTCATATCGATTTGTAATTCACAGCACGCAGTTTCGATTGTAGTTAGTTTTATTGATTATCTAAACAATTTGGTTGGAGAGTATAAGCAAACATCCGGCAGTGACTAGCGCTGGATGTAACAAACGTCTTTTCTCTGCGTCGATGTTAAATGGTAAATTGTTTCTGGCCATCGAAAATTCCCGGACTTGTCAGTTGACCGAAACATTCAAAGTATTCGCTAATCCGAATTTTCACCCCATACCTAAAATACGATAAATTTCAAACAATGAACAATGATAGTGTCCTAGCCCACTTAGACTTAAATTTTAATACCGATTCATAGATTAATTGAGCATTTTGAATATTCAGTAAATTTTTAACTTCGTTAGCCTAATTTCGTCATTGTCGAAAAAATTTAGTTTTTTTCTTTGAAGTCTGTTAAAATCAAGGAATTGAGTTTGCTATTATATCAGAGATTTTTCAAATGTTGATATTCTCATTGATATTTCCTTTTCGTTTAAATTTGAATTGTCCGAATTTCGGGTATATTAAAAAAAATATCAAAACGTTCATTAGGAAACGAAGTTATATTTTTTTGCGAATTTCTGACGAATATTTTGATATGTATTGCGACTATATTTTACCCAAAATGCTCTTGTATTGTAACTAGTGCTTCTAGTAAATCAAATTTAATTTTTCGACCAGTGTCATGTCTGCTCTAGCCTACTGTTACATTTTACATATTATATTTCGCTGGATTATGAATTTGGTTTTCGCCAAACATATATATAGGCTACATTGGGGGAGAGAAACACCATTTCGTACCTTCACATCGATAAGGTAGGTTCATTGTGGATTCACCAAGTGCAAAAAATCTTTTAGTGTTACAGAATGTTGAAAAAACAAAGAAATTGTAACTCCTTTGTCTTCGAAACATTGTACACCGAGCAGAATTCGTGGATTTATTTTGACATGGATTATCGTCGGCACGTTCTTGGGTAATCCCCCTAACCCCCTCGTTAATCCTTCGCGTTGTTTTGGTTTTTTATTTCTAACAAAATCTGACACCGTTTCATCCGGTAAAGATTTGAAACTTTGAATTTCTGTGATTGAGAATGTGTTATTTTTTTTATCGATAAAAATCTGTTTATCTGCGACGATAGTCATATTGACTGCTTTTTCTCGTAGATTTTTTCTCGTTCATTATAAGTTTTACTGATCATGATGTATGGACGAAGTTTTGTGGCAGATCAACCAGATCCTTGATCACGGACCAAACCCAAAGTATATGCTAATCTGTCACAAGACAGTACAATGTCATAATGATTAGTACTATATATTATACACAATCTGATTACAATGGTAGCCTTTACGCCGATTGATTTATTATATTTGAGAATATCTATAATATAGCCTTAAAGCAGGATATTATGGTGAAAATATTTTTGGAAATCGAACTGTTTTTGAAGCTAGTATTAAAATATATTCTCTTATTTAGCTCTATATACTATGTTATATAGCTCTGATATGTTGTAGTTGATGTTGATCACATAGAAAGGGTTAAGTTCTCCTGCACTAACCAAACAAAAACATTCTTAGAGTTCCCTCCCTTTATTTTCCAACCACTGGAATTTCCCATGCAAACACTGTTTTAAATTAAGTTACCAACAAAATCCTTGAGTTC